AATCTTTCCCAGTTTAGACTATTTTAACTACAACTTGTTTTCTTTAACAAATAGAAGCTTAAAGAGGGGCTACTTTAATTATGGGGTGAAACTGCATTTCAACAATTTTCTCTGTGACCCTCTGAGAGCTCAGGGCTTCACAGAAGAAAATCTGGTTCCTGAAGACGATATAGCCGTAGCACCAATGCCCTCTGACAAGGATGCTTCTGCGGAGTTGAGCTGCTCTCCCCAAGTATGTGTGCAGCCAGTGCTTTCTATTTTCACATTCTAGAGCAAAGAAGAGTATAAATTATTCCTAATTCTTGATTCTGTGATGAAGTAGCCATCTGGTCTGATAGTACGGTGACAATGATATAGGAGTGAACACTCTATGCTTGGTCTACTGCACAGAAAAGGACAATAGGACATATTTTAAAATGTCAGGATCCATCAGAATGATATTTGAGAAAGTTTACACTGATGAAAATAGATAGTATTGAAGATACATCATGATGCAAATCTAATCATGGCTGCTGGGCAGCTGAATTAAATTAAGAGTAAATCTGAATATTTCTAATTAAAAATATGTTGTTCCATTTCCTGCTGTGTTTTCCATGTCTGCAAAAAGAGTCCTTATCATATTACTTTTGAGAAACTGTGTTACAAAGAAGGTTGATCTGTCTCCCTCACTCCTCTGACACATATATGTTGAATTCTTAGGCCACTGATATATGATGAATTTAGCTATTTCCAGTCAGCTGTCAGTGAAAATTGTGTTTACCACTACATTTTTGTTCATCACTAGGAAAGAGTTATGTATCACTGGGATGGGGGCTATTAAAAAAATCACAGATGTGTAAGGTGTATGGTAGAGTAATAAGAGTTTTCTTTTAAAAATTGTCACCATGTAATATTCAACAAATATTCAACAAATATTGACTGAGTACTTTGCATGTACTGAGCACTGAATCTGGTATCTCATTGAAGTTTAGGGGAAGAGTATAATAACATATTTTGAAAGTTGTAGAGGCACTGATGAGCATTGCTTTAGTAGGCATGATTTCCAACCATACAAAGTAGTTCCTGACCCATGCCCAGAGACAGTGCCTGGATCATGCTCTAGGAAGCCAGCTAGATGATTATCAGGCCTGCAGTATCTTAAGCAGGGCAGATGGGAGGGCAGATGGAAGGTTGACTGAGGCTAGCTAGGAGATTCGCAGGGAGGTTGTGGATCCTAACCCAAATTGGAGATGCTGGTGTAGGCATAGACCTGATAACATCTAAACAACTCAGTCATGATTCAAGCAGTCTAACTCAATGAGCAGCACACAGCATCAGGATTAGACTAACTCTGAATGCCTCCAATTCAGAAGGGGACAATTCTGACTGTGAATTGAGTTTTATTGTTTAAGTTTCTCTCTTTTTCCTTCCTTCCTTCCTTCCTTCCTTCCTCCCCCCCCCCCAACACACAGAGGTCATCAGCCACCATTCTTAGCCACACATAAAATGGAAATCGATGTGGATGGATTCTTAAGCTGCCGTTATCAGCACTGTCTGCCCTCTTCTTCCAGGCTCCCTAAAAGGGAAGGTCCTCATATGTGCTTCCAAGTTGTTACCAGTTGGCTGAGAGTTCTTGCTCATTTCGTAGAGAAATCACAAATTGGCTGAGGGTAGCTCTTTTAGTGTTAACAGCACTGGGCTTTGGATGCTAGCAGCTATCCACTCTTTTAATAATAGCAACCCTCCTTGCTGTTCAGAGAAAGCAGCTCTAGCAGGCCTAGGAAACTCTTCTAGCCACAGGAGATGGCAGCTGCTGGCTATTCTTCATTGCTCTCCATTGTTCTCTGGCTTCCAGCTGTCTCCGGCATTATCAGTTCTGGCTGTTTGCCACTTCAGTGACCTTTGGTATTGCCAGTTCTTAGTGTACCTGCAAGCCTGGTCTCCTCAAGACAGAAATCACAAACAGGCAAAAACGCCATCTGGAAGAGGCTCTATTAGAACTTATGCTCCAGGATAGGAGGGAACAATACCTGGGCTGAATCTGTGAAGGGTGTAAGGAGGCTCCTTATAAAGGAAAAAATGTGGGCTCATACATGCCCTATGTCCGACCTTCTGTTTGGTCATGGGTAGGGAAAGGGCCCCATGGACCTAGCTAAGGAGGGCTTCAGAAGGGTAGAATCATTGAGGGAGGCTGGTAGGGGGGGGTGGCATCTGGGACAGTCTGTGATCTGATCAGCCTGCTGCTGAAGCAAATATCTCCCAGAGTGGCCATGGGGCATCCGATACAGGCAGGCTGACTGTAAGATGTTTCAGAAAAATGAGAAGTAGTTCTTGGGAAGCATTGGGCCAGTCTCTCCTGTCTCAGTACTGGGGACTAAATCAGGGTATCATATAAGCACTCTGACACTGAGGGAGCAGTATTCCAAATACTGGGATTATAGGCATGTACCACCAAGCCTGGCTATTGTTTTAATTTCTAGTAGACATGTGATACTATTCAAAAGACCCTTTCTATGTGGGCCCCAGCCACTCGGAAGCAGTCATTTCTTTTCTTTTTGAAGGAGTAAGAAATACACAATTTCAAAGAATAATTATTAACTATTTGCTCTGTGTCACAACTCAGTTCATCATGCATATGACAGTCCTATCACCTTCTCCACATTCAGGTTGTTTTTGCTCTTTTCCAGTGAATATGTCCCAGTCATCACCCAGTTTCCCAAGCCTGAAACCTGAAAGTCATCCCAATTTACTTACAGCTTTCCTAACTCCCATCATCAACATGTGCTGTGGACGCTGTGGCCAAGTATTTGATCTCTATCTCTACCACTGTCAGGGTTCATAAAATCATCATATCTAGAATGTATTGCTAGCTTCCCAGCTGTTGTCTGTGAAATGAAAATCTGTTTATTTGTTATCATGATATGAATTCCAACATGACTCTACACTGACTTTAGAAGCAAATCTATGATATGGCCACTGTTCATCCCCTGCTCCCACCTCCCATTCACCCCTGTCCCCAGACATATCAAACATTACAATCGTTATCAAGGATTTGAGCTTTGCCTTTGTCTCCCAACACATCAGCTTCTCTTGGGGTTGTCTTGCTTCTTTTATCCCATCCAAATTAACAAAATTTTCCACTTCCTTTCTAAAATTTGGCCAAAAGATAAACCAAGCCTTTGTTCTTCTCAACTGCTCAGAGATCTTCCAAGAACTGAGGTATTATTTAACTAACCTACATTTTAACTGAATCAGATGTAACATTTACATATTCCTTCAGAATGCTAACCATTCCCTAAGACAGAGGCATCTACTGCTCATTGAATGTTCACATTTTCCCAAATGATTGGGTCTGGACAATAGGCTATAGGTAGGAGTCATTTCTGAGTTGAGACATACAAGAGTCAGTATGCAATGTGACCCTCATTTTTCCTGTCACAATACAATGAAGGGTGTGTGTGGAGACGGTGGAGACAGAAGACACAAAGAACCTAGGTCTCTGTGTCACAGCATGGAAGGTAGCTACCCTTAAGAATTAGCCAACTCCTGTTGGCTGGGCTAGCAGGAATAAGAGCTAGACCTTTATTGTGTTCAGTCACTGGGACCCTAGGATTATATTTTTAGCACATCTGAGCCCATGCTGTCTCAACATATATGTCCCATTATCTCTGATTCCAATATACAAAAAATACAGAATTGTATTTTTAAATTGATAGTTATTGATACAGAGAATCTTATCAATTAATGTCAGTTTTTATAAAGGTTCGATTCGTCTTATTTGAATATACTAAAGACATGGGGAACACTGACAAGTAGCCTGAGAGCTTTCAGTACTGGCATATTATTTAAGTTAATGGGAACTTTTATCACTAAACCATAGACAGGTTAAGAAGTTGGACTCATACCAAAAACATACATTGTAGCAAATCATGTCAAAGACTCAATAGAAGCCTTAAACCTAGGTTATGTAAAATGAAACTTTTTATATCTAAATTTGATTTAAACTCAGCAGTTCAAAGAATATTTAGGACACAGTTTATCACAATTTTAACTGCTGGGGGCACAGATCTATTCAGTTTTGGAAAATAGATTCCATCCTGTGGAACACATATAATCCACGTTCAGCCACTCATCAGCAAATTCTTGATCTTTGGAGAGTTGTTGAACTTGAACATCTAATCACTTACAATTTACTTGTCTCCCCTACTTTGGTCTTAAGATGTTGTACCCACCAGATAAAAATAGATAGTTTCCAGAATATTTCTTGATTTTCACCCAGGATAAATTCTTCAAAATATTTCTTAAACTATATAATTATTGTATGTTGGGTAAGTAGGCTGAGAAAGGAAGAGGAAATGTATTAGAAAAATCTCAGTTAAAATTTGCCATTGTAATTAATTTATGAAATTTGGCCCTGAGTTTCCTAGTGGTCAAGGTAAGAAGGAAACCTGGTGACTTAAATAATTTTATTTCAATTTTGGCAAAAATAATGTTAACAAACAGGATTATTGGCTATTTGGATTGTTTTACTTTTTTTTAATAGATTGATTTTGAGGAACATTGCATCCCTATCTAGTCAGAGGGGCTCTCTACAAAGCTTCCACTGTTAAATGAAATCAATTTGCTGGTTGAATGAAATGGTTTCATACTGTAAATACTTCTTGAAGTGCTTACGAGAAGAAATTATATCTGAGAAGTGAAAAACCAGTTTAGCAGGAGAGGCGCCACCACTCACAGTGACATTCAAAGATTATTCTCCTGGAGTCTTCCCAGTGAAATCAATCAATCATTTGTATTAGTGTGGATGGGAGTTACAGGTCTTATCTAGAGGAAATTCTGGGGGTCTACAAAATGGGTAACAGTTATTGCCGCATTGGGGAAAATAACTCACTCTAATTTTAAAGAAACAATCCCCCAAATGGGTGATTAAATCCCATGTCTTTATTGACCCAGTTTTCTCACTGTAATCTGTTCCAGCGTATTTTTCATAAAGAGATAACATGCTTCCTTGTGGTGTCCTCCGAGGCTATCTCACTCTTCCAACTTTGCTTCTGTGAGCTTTGTGATAGCGTTTGCAAATCCAAGATAGGATGCTGAATTACCCAGTCACCCAAATCCAGAGCAGGCAGGCTCTATTTCAATTCTGTGGTTCCTTGTATGTGTGATTAATGGTGGAGCCCAGGCCAAAAGACAAGCATCGGAATGCAAAGGACCACCCACGAAGTGGCGTCTTTACTGCATCCTGAACTGGAGACCTCTGGCTCACTACTGCTGCTGCAGTTCTGCTGAGACCATAGAAGAATCTCAGCACTGACCTGTCAGTGTTCCCTCTGGCCTCCAAAGTCCAGGAGATCAGTCACACTGTCTTTGAGCTTGAGTTGAGGCCAATGCTCATTTTATTCCTACTCCATGGAGACTGTTGTCAGTGAAAGGCTAATAGGGGACACACACAGTGCAGCTCTGGACCCTGGGACTTGGAAAGACTTCCTGAGCAAACTTGCTATGTGAACCCACCTGACTCACTTCCTGCTCAGCTCCTCTAAGAAGGGCAATCCATCTGGTAGTCTGCTTGGCAGAGTTATGGTGATCTTCATCTTTCAGAGTTCCTCTTTCTACAGCTCACCAGTGAGAGAATGATGGAGTGGAAGCCATAGGAACTACAGGTGAGTCTTAGCTCAGGTTTACTGGAAAGGGACTCTGAGACAGATTGGCATGCAGAGTCTCATGGGTGATTGCAATAGAAGACAGTGAGGAAAGGAGGACTGGGCAGAAGGGGATACTGAACTGTTATATCATTGTAACAGAAATCTCATTATCCTATGGGGGAGATCTGGAGTTGGGTTGGTTTTGCAGAAATGTCCTCAAATTGAGACAAGAGGACCGGGCTTTGTACCCACTTAGATTCCAGGCATTACATGTGGAGAGGCCATTTAACCTTAGGCAAGGCAGCTGCCTTTGCCCATGGACAAACCCACAGGAGAGTCTCAGCTGTGACAGTCTTCCCGGAAGCTGAGAGAATGATATCTCAGTCCAAAAGCGGGAATCTGAGTGACACATGACATCATCTACTACTTCCTAACCAACCCTTCATTCACATTCCTTCAAAGAATAATTAAATTTAGTTCAGAAATACTGAGAGAAAAGGAAGGAATGATCAACTGAATCTTGATCCAGACTATACAAGGATACAAAGTAGATTATTATTAAATAAACCCTGAGTATCCTTTAATAGTAAAATGAATCCAGGTGATTCCCATATGCTATTAGAGAAAACTTGAAAGATGGTGTTGGGGGGAAGTAGGGATCATTATTGCTTACATGACCTAGCAATAATTAAGCCATTTGAGGTCTGTCCTCTACAACATTTCCAGCTTGGAGTAGAGCCCTGAGCTGGTTATCTTTTGGGCCAAACCTTTGAGTCTCTGTAGGAGGCACCCTGTCAGCCCATAATCTTTCAGAGGATTACCAACCTCAAACTTCCTTTGTCAAGAGATTTTATATAATACAGTTCAGGAGACCCCTTGGCATTAATTGTATCTTTCTTAATGACTTCTCAAGTCATTTTAAGTCCTATACTACAGTTCAATAAATTTGTATACTTATACTTGACCAGAAATTCAGAAGATGTAAAATAGTAAGATGAAGAATTAAAACTTAACTTGAATATCATCACTACTAACCTAGTGGTATATATTCATCCTTCCATTCTACTCATGTGCAAGTCCTATTTTTAAAAATAATTTAAATACAGAGTTATGCAGTGCTGGATCCAAATCTTGGTTCCAGCACTTAACATTGTGGTCTCAAGTAATTTATCCTTGATTCGCTTATGCATCTATAAAATGGGAATAATTACTCTGACCTCATGGAATTTTGTTAGGCTTTAATATGAGGTGATATACATATATAAATCATCTATCCTATTGCTTGGTGCATAGCAGACATTCAATAAATGTTATATCCTTGACTTCTCCAACCAAAGGGCTAAATTTGTAAAAACCACAAAAGACCCAACTTCGAGAACTGAGTTATGATCTGAGAAAAACCTATTTAAAAATATCTCAGGCTTCATTGCTTAAATTAATTCCAAAGTTTTTTAAGCTATTAAGAAGCAATGGACAATTTGATTCAGCTATGTAATACGAGGCTGTGTAATTAAACATATATATCCTGAAATTAATTTTACATTTACTTTTATAATACAGTACACTTACATAGAATAACACATGGCTTTTGATTAAACAGCAGACTGCCATTCAATCAAACAGCTTAAGATAGATCATAAAATGTGAAAACACAGCATCAGCCCCAAGATACAGTTATGGGATTTTAATATTCACTTCCATACTCTTACCCAGGTAGCATAAAAATGTATGTTTCAATGAGAAAATATTAAGAAATTGTTAACACTAAGTAGATCACATTTCTGTTTAAATGCTACTGGGTCATCTAGATTTATTGTAAATAAGACAAGAGAAATTTAGAGATTTGTCTTTCAGGGTAAAGTTAATTAGGGCCGATATAATTTTGGTTTAAAATTTTCAATTATGGAAATAAAAAACTTTTAAAGGCATTTGAGTTTATTATTTTCCATATTTCTTAGTTTATTTTCAAAATAAAATTCCTACTGAACTGTGCACATATTATGATGGAAACACTTTCTACATCTCAACTCTAAGTAATCCAAATTCTTGCACAACTGGGGGAGTAGGGGAAAGAATAAATGAGATCCAGGGACAGTTCCTTAAAGTCTTATTTCATTTTTTATGTGATTTTCTTCTCTTCTACAAGCCTTTATCTGAACAGTAAAAAATACAATAAAATTGTCCATGTGAGTTTCATTTTACTGACCTTCCTATGTCCAAAGACCTGTCAGACAGGGAAAGCCCCATGCTCCACTCAAACTCAACTGCTCAAAGTCATCTGCTCTCAACTTGATTATGCCTCAATAAGTCCTGGATAAAATACCACCTATTTGCAATTGTGAACATTCTCTTCAAGTTGATCTTATTGGGTGACGATTCTCTGGAGGCCTCTCGTGTTTCTGCATGTCTTGAGCAGAGGCATGGACAACTTTTGTTCCAGACTCTTTTCAAGGATGCTTGTATTGAGAATGGCTTTTGAATTTGGGTGACAGGTCTTCCTCCCAAGCAGAGACCAGGTGTCTTTACCATCTAGTATAACAAAGACACTGTCTCTCTCTAGGGCAAAGGTAGGAGAGGTTGCTTGTATTCCATTATGAAAGGTTTGGCTTCTTCAAGCTTGGGGTCCCTCAGCTGTGGCAGACCCCATTGCATGTGCAACATCCATCTATATCCCTTTAATACAACTTTGGGGGATTGGGGTTTGAACAAACTTAAAGCTCATGCTTTTAGCTATGCTATGAGGTGTATGTTTCTTTTTTTTTTTTTTTTTGGTACCAGGGATCGAACTCAGGACCTTCCGCTTGCGAGGCAGGCGTCAGAACCACTGAGCTAAATCCCTGGCCCCTGAGGTGTATGTTTCTTTGTCACTGACCTAGGAGAACCATAGCTTCTTCCAGCACCCATAACTGTGGCAGGCTTGCAAATAGGGGAATCTCAGATCCCTCACCATTCTTGACAAAATACCCATTAAGAAGGTACACAAATCACAAGTGTACAAACAGGAGAATTGTTACAAAGTAAACATACCTATATAAATAAAACCCAGGAAACAAAAAGTGAAGAGAATCTCAAAATTCCCTTAAGGCTCCCCTCCAATAGATTAACCACTATTCTGACTCTTACACTATCAATTGGTGTTGCCTTTCTTGAATTTCATATAAATGAAATCACACAATGTGTATTCTTTTCTCTGACTTATTTTACTCAAAATTATGTTTGTGGAATTTATTCTTGTTGTTGTATGTAGTTTTATTTTTCTTTTCATTCTCATGACTGAATGGTATTCTGTCATTAAAGGTCACACATTTCTAGTGAAGGCTTTCCCAAACCCCGTAACGTTTTTGGAACTCCTACAGTCCTTTATTAGTAACTTTTCTGTTCAATTCACCATTTCCTACTTCATATTTTAGGTATTAAAATATTTTGATTATTTCTTTTACTAGTTCATTCCTCAAGAGAACCTGAGCAGATATTCATTCATTCAGTTATTCTACAAACACTCACCTAGCCCACTGGTGTCTGCGGACAGTTCACAAGGAATGGGAATTGCTTTTAACAAAAAACAAAGACTTAGGGGCTGAGGATTTAGCTCAGTGGTTCTGCCACCTGCCTCACAAGCACAAGGTCCCGAGTTCAATCCCCGACACTGAAAAAACAAACAAACAAAAACTTATACAGAAAACTGCCTATTAAATTCTTTACTTGATTGTCAGGATGTGATATTCAACCTTGGCAAAAGAAAACTTGTAGTTTACACATCTCTCCAAATTGGCTCCTCTGTAAATCTTTTTCATCTCATTAAAATACACACACTACACTCCATTCAATTGCTCAGAACAAAACTACTGGCACCACCTTCTCTTTCCTTTACTGCCCACCCCAGTGCCTCCAGAAGCCCCTCCAGAGCCTCCTCTGAGCCCATCTCAGTTCCACCCTGCATCCATCTTCGTTTCCAGCCATCTGGCCAGACTAGGTCTTGCTGCTCATCTGCTTGGCCTCCATTCTCCACAAAGCAGCAATAGCCATCATTTGAAACATTAAGTCAGGACAAGTTACCTCCTGCTAACCACCTTCCAACAGTATTACTGCCCTGAGAATAAAATCTAAAGTTCTTTGCTATGGGTCATAAAAACCATTCTTAACCAGGACTCTATTTCATTCTCCCCTACAGAGTTCCAGTCACTGAGGTTTGATTGGACAAGTTTGTCTCGCTGGGGCCTTGCATTTCCTTATCTTTTCACCCAGAACAATTCTCTTCCTTATCTTCACATAGCTGATTCCTTGTTTTCACTTAGATCTCAGCTTAAATATTACCACTCTAAAGAAACCCTCCTGACCTTCTAATCCAAAATAGCCAGCCAGCTACTTTCTGTGGCATTACTATATTTTATATATAATCCACTGCATAGCACTTTCCTTATTTCAAATATTCTTTCTCATTTTTGTTATTGTTGTCATTGGCTATTGTCTATCTTCCTTAGCTGAAATGCAAGCTCTTGGAAGTCAGGAACTTCATCGGTCTTGCTCATCAGGAAAGAAGGAGGAGGATAGGATTAGGGAGAGACCTATGGAGGTTTTAATTTTATTGGTCATGTCCTATATCTTAAACTTGACAGGTACACACTGATATTCATTTTATTATTGTCTCTTCCTTACACAGTTACATGTGGCTTAATGACAGGGATTTTGCCTAAGAAATCCATAATTAGGTGATTTAATCATTGTGTAAACATCATAGAGTATGTTTACACAAACTGGGATGGGTATGATGTCCCCAGGCGATTATATGATCTGTCACTGAACATTGTTATATGACACACGGACATATAAACATTATATGTGCTCATTAACTTTTTTATAACTTAAAAAGTAAAAAAAGTTAAACTATTTATTTATAACCAAGTTTTCATAAATATTTCTCTGACTGTAGCCAAACATCTATAGTAATATGAACTCTAATGTTTGTATGCTTGAATGTTGAATGTATGGATGAATTGTGTCCCCCAAAAAGATATGTTTCAGTTCTACCCCCCCACCTCAAAATGTGACCTTAGTGGTCACATTGACCTTACAAGGTCATTGCAGATGTAATTAGTTAAGATGAGGTTGTGCTGGCATAGGGTGGCCCCTAATTCAATATGACTAAGTCTTCATAAGAAGACAGTTGTGTAAAGATACAGAGATATGAGAAGAAATCAGTGTGAAGACAGAACATTAAAGTAATCCATCGACAAGCCAAGGAAAACCTGGAGCTACCAGAAGCTAGGGAAAAGGCATAGAACAGATTTTCCTTCAGAGGCCTTGGCAGAACCACCCAGTTCTGAATTCCAGAACTATGAGTCACTCACTTTGTAGAGCTTTCTTATGCCAGCCCTAGGAAAGTTACACAAATGTATGTAACGCTAATAATAAAGCATGGAGGTTAATGATTTATGGTCTTTCTATGCTAGAGGAGTGAGGCTGCAATGGATACAGCAATGAAATCAAGTTGTACTTTCACAGTTTCTTTTCTGCAGGTTACAGTAATGCATGTAGGGACAACACAATGAGCCTAAAAGACAGTCCCAAAATAAAGGTGCTTGAGAAGATACTACAGCATATAAGAAAATTCAATAGTTCATTTTCCCCAGGACCCTCATGGTCATCAGTTGAATCAATCATTGAGTCGCATTTACAGCTATTATTCATGGCATGTCTGGGACCATTATGACCTTTCAGATCTTATTATCTTAGTTGACGTTGGTACAATTACATTTACATTGATTTCTAAAATGCAGTGTGTTTGAGTATGCTTGGGTGGTGTTCACCAAACAGAATTAACTGGGAAACATGGATAAAGAGTTAAGAATGCTCTAGAGATGGTTAGATGATAAAGGCAAATATTTAAGAATAACTGCCTTTATGTTACCCATAAATCTGAATTGTGTCTGGGAAATGCCCCTTTATATTTGATAGGTGTAAGGGGCAGGGGGTGTTACAGTTAGAATGGTATCTAATCTCACAAGGTATAATGGTATGTAATCTCACAAGGTCACAGCTGGACAGTAGAGAATTGGGAGTCCCTGTTTTGTTTCCAATACAAAAAATCCAGAAAATGCCAGTAGGTGACCATGGCACACGTTATGCTCAGCTTGCTGTGGACATCCAGTAAATATCTTGGATAAAAGTCTTAGACAATGTGGAAAATAATGTGTTCATTATTAGATGGTTTTATCTATATATGAGTCACCTCGATTTGGTGAAAAGATTTTTTGGTGAAAAATTAGAGGTTTGGCCTAGGAATGGCACACAAGATGCACTCTCAGATCTGAGAGGCTGCTGATTTAGACCTGGCCAATTACTTGCCTATGGGGGCTAATGCACTAGGAGCTAAGTGCCTGGGTATTGGAGGGAAGTATTCCTGGGTTTAAAACCTGGTTCCATTCCTTATTAGCCACAGATATTTAGGTTTATTATGTAACATCTCTACATTTCTGATTCCTCACTTATAAATGACTATAATGATGATATCTACTTTTAGAGATGCCTACTTTGTAAAGATTGAGATGAGGCATACTGAGAGATAAAAGGGTTATTATTGTTATTAGTGTTGCCTCTACCCATCCCACTGCCAGCTAGACTGATGGACACAGGAGTTTCCTATCACCAAGCTTTGCCAGCTCACCTGAGTCTCTATGGGTAGTTTCAATGGGTGGTCAGGTGCCCAGCCATCTGTCTGTCAAGGCAGTCTTACCTCTAGCATCTATGTGAGCAACTGATCTTTCTCTGCTTATCTCCTGGGTCATCTTTTGTCCCTTCTGTCTTACTCCTGAATCTATGGTGAGTTGTTAGGAAAAGAACCAGAAACCCAGAAGGCATTTGGAGATGAAGCAGTAGCTCAGTTGTACAGTAATAGCTCATCTCACTTATGCCTCCTGTTTCCTGGACTCTTCAGGGGCCTCAGGGAAGGGACAGAGCCTCTGGTGAGCAGAGACAGTTGAAGTGGCTACAGGATATTCAGGGAGCTTGGAGCAGTGGCCATGTACATGGTACAGACACACTTCACCTTTTAATAGGAGGCTATATCTGTGCACACAGCTTAGCTATCAGCCCTAGTCCCAGCCCTCTCCATGTTCATCACGAGTTTCACCGTAATTTGTTCTTTCTCTTCTTGTCTCATGCCTATTCTCTCACCTGGACAACATCAAACACATTCATCCTGGACCACACATCCATTCCCTTTTTCAGAGATGCCAAGTGGATCCTGGGCTTCAGAGATATAAGTCACCTCTGATTCATTTAACAGCCTGTATTAATTTCCTAAGGCTCTTGTAGCAAAATACCACAACCATGTGTCCTAGAATAGTAGAAATGTATCAACTCACAGTTCTAGAGGCTAGTAGTCTGAGATGAAACATCAGAGGAGGCCATGAGACCTGGAGGGGAAGGATCCTGCCTCCTGTACTTCTTTTCACCCCTCACATACCTTGGCTTGTGGTAGTGTGACTATCACTCTGCCTGATGTGCCCTTCTCCCTGTGTCTCTACATATCTCCCCATATCATCTGCCCACATTTCCGCTCTGCACAAGGACACCATTGGTATTGGAATAGAGTTTACCCTAATGGCTTTATTTCAACTTGCTTCAATCTGAAAAAACAGTATTTCCAAATACCTACTATATCTCTTTTGGGGGCAGGGCAGGTAAGAACACAATTCAACTCCTAAGAGGGCCTTTTCCCCCTGGATAGCTCCTGGGAGAGATATTCTTGAGGTTTCTGTCCTTGTGCCAACACCAAAAGCTATGATTTAAAAAATCTAAAATGAGCCTTTGCTCTCTCCTCAAGCACAAACATGCTGGGGTGGGGACACTGGGTCTATTTCAAACAGCAGCAAAGCACACCAACCTTCCATGCTAAAAGGCAAATCGGAGATTTCTTCAAGTGATCTACATATTTTACAGATGATGAAACTGAGGCTCAGAGACATGATTTATCTGAACTTTCAGAGCTTTATAAAGGTTATAGTCAAAAGCAGAACCCAAGTTTCTCTATTCCCCTTTCATTATCCCATACTCTCAAAAGTAAGCAGCTCATTTAATAAACATCATATTGGCCTTATTTGAGCACTACTTTAATTCATCTTCATCTTATCATGTCTGTGTGGACATAGCTCTATTATGGGCCCAAAGGAAATATTTCTCAAAGACACCAGTGCATCCAATAAGCCTCTAAGAGTAATAATGAGAATCAGTGGGTAAGGCATTCTAACAATCCCCAAATGTGTTTTTAACACTGTTATTGTTGTTTTAACATTGAATACACTTAACCAGGAAATCCAAACTTCTTTCTGAAGCATTCCAACTGTTGTGTTTATACCCGGTTGCCACACAACATTTGCTCCTACTGTGTTTTAGTTGGCAAGAGCTAGAGGAAGGGTTTTTGTAGCCAAGTAGCCTCAGATAGGGAATCTTTCCAGTCCCCAGAGATCTGGCACAGCCCCAGAATCAATAGTCGCAGAAACAGATGCCAACAGTCATCTCGTCCAGGGTTTTAGCTAACCTTGGACAACCTCCTAGTCAGACCCCAAACCAAGATAGGAAGAACCAGCTGAAAAAATAGAGCTCTCCAAAGATTACAGATAAATAAGTAAAAGCTGCATTTTTTTCCATCAGGGAAAAAAGGGGATTCCTGCAAAAGACAAATTAAATTATTCACTCTCCCTCTCCGCCAGGAAAAAAACCTCAAATGCAGCTATGTTGCCAGTCTCCTGAATTAAAATCAATAAACACATTCAGTATTTTATTATAATTGCATATTTTCTAGACTGCAGAATATGAAATTGTGCCACCATCACAGAGTATTTAGTACTTTCATTATACAATTTTCTGACTGTGACGTGAAAATATAAATGATTTAAATGGCAGCCAATACATCTAACAGCTTTCTCCATAAGATATATCATTCATTCACTCAGCACACTTTGAGCATACCAGCACTGTACTATGCCCTGGGATTCTTAGCTGTCTACATCCGGGTCCTGCTTGTGGTTACAGATCATCCAGGAAGACTATGCACCAGCCATGGTCCACCATAGCACTTGCTATAAAAAAGAAAAAAAGTTTATGGAGGCTGGGATTAGCTTAGTGGTAGGGTGTGTGCTTAGCATGTGTGAGGCACAGGGTTGGATCCCAGCACCCCTCACACATAAGGCATATGGACAGAGTGATGGAGGCATACATGAATGATGAATTCTGGCTTCCAGGGAGAAATGGAAGAGAAGCAGAATGTGCCAGGAGCAGTCTGGTCTCTTTGGTGTTTTAGAAAGTTGACCACAGCGCAGAGTCAGGCAAGCAGCACCCTACTGGGGACCCACAATGGATCCTGGCCTATGCCATTTTATGTGAGTATTTTCAAATTCTTTCAGCTGTGGCCTTCTTAGAAGGCAGATGGGCATGAGGTGCTCTTTGTACTCACTTTCAGGTACCCTACTGGGAAGAGGGATGAGTTCTGCTGGGGAGCCTCCTCTTGCTACAGATGGCCCTACTGTGAGGTAGGCCGAGGATTTCCAATGACCTCTTTGTCCAACATCTTGCTCATGGAAGCTGTATTTGTTCACTTTTCTGACCAAGTACCAGATTTTACCCTCCAACTGAGGATGTGCCAGGAGCTTTCACTGTCCTGGAGGGGAGGAGGATGAGGAGGTTCCAAAAGAAGAGGGAAAAAGAAAGATGGTGGGGGATGGTGGGGGGGAGAGCAAGATCAGAGAAGAAATGGCTGGAGGTGTGGAGCTCTTCTGGCTTGATTTGGATATTGCTCTCCTAGACTCCAAATGGAAAATAGAACTGAACACCTATGATTAAAAAATGTAATACATGCTAAGAAAGTCTAAAGTAATTTATACCAGGCATTAAAGTGTTTTGCATAAGAATATAGTATAAAGTAGACAATCCAAGAATTATGTCTTTCATTAAAAGGTTTGCAACTCAGTGTGCGATGATATAACTATAGCAGTTTTTCTGTCTTAGTGATGGTTTTTTATTTTAAACGCTGCCTTACAAACCCAGGAACACAAATGCATGGGGAACGCATAGCCTTTGGGTTTTAACTTATTGTCACCTCTTACTAATCACTTCCCTTAGTACTTTACCTGCTTGTGCCAAGGTGAAAGGTGAACAGTTATACTGCCACTGCCCCTCAACCCCATGTATCCTGCACCCAGCTATAAAGTAAACTGTCATTTCTTTCTTCATTATTCAAAGTTAGCATTCACTAGTTCAAAGCCCATTTGAGATTATGCATCAAGAATGATATACATTAAGGCTGGAATTAAAGGAAAATCAGTTACATAAAAGAAAGGTGTTTTTGCCACAAATCTTTTGTGTGCACGTCAAGAAGTATATTCATTGCCTAATTTAAAAAGAAACCAGAACAACTCCCAAGATATATACCTGCATCTGGCCAGTCTTTCCAGAAGGACATTTTCTGTTTGAAGTTGGACTGTGAGGTTAGAGGGAAAACATTTCTCCCTGGACAGCACATGCAGCTTGTTAAAAAAAAAAAGTCAGGGTGTAATTCTCATTTTAGGCCCTTGTAAAGAGTAAAACCAAAAATTGATTCATCCTGAACAAGCTTAGACAGGATGAGAAAACCGGGCTACAAATAAGGCTGACAGACTTAGGCGAGCTCCAAGAGGAGATCAGATGAAATTTCAAAATCCCTTCCAACTCAATGATTGCATAATTTTATTGATTGTTGCCTAATTATACTCATGATTTTGCTTGTCTGTTAGAGCAACTCTTCTCTGATTTGTTACAAATCTTGGTGATGCCTACTATATATAGTTAAGGGACCTACAATGGGCTAGTACTCAATTGGGTGCCTTTTTGAATCATTCCATGTAATTATGAGATCAGTCCTGAAATTCAAAAATTATGAGTTTTTCATGTATATCATCCTCTTCAATATGATTTTTTATATTTTTTAATTAGGTAACTGAGTTCTCAAATATGAGTCAACACTGAATATGAAACTACCATGATTATATTCTGTGTAATGCCTAGAACTCTGTGAGCTCATACATATAAAACAACAAAAAATAATAATGGCTGTATTGTATTTGGGCCAATTTGCAAGGTAAAAAGAGATGCCATGTGTGGGTATGAATTCACCAAGGTGCTGGTGCTCTGGAACAGTTTTAACTCCAGAGATGCAGTACTTCCTGGCCTCTGTGATGTTCTAATGCTACCCCAGCTCCCAGCACAATGTCTGGCATTTGGGACAGGTTTGATGGATGTGTGTGAAACTGAACTTAGGCACACTGACCTCTCTTTCAGGCCCCTGCTGAAGTACCGAGCCCTCTCGTTTCCAAATATTATGGTGGAAAGGTTAGAAGGGCCAGGCCTTCCCATGTGTTTCTGGCATCCTCTCTGATCAAGGTTTGATAAGCAAGAGTGTTATCTGAGGCCTCCAAAGCAGATGCTTGCAACTCAGTTTTGCTTTTAACTCCCAGTTGGATTTTGCTAAAGGATTCTTGAGCTCTGGACAGGGACTATGTGATGAGCAGGCTTTGAAAAGAAGCTCTCTTCTTCTACAATGTGGGGAGGGTGCCAAATACTTCCATGGGTGAAAACTAGCAAAAAAATACCTCTGGCTCCTATATTTGCACCCAGCTTAGCCATTTTATCATTTCCATCTGGTTTTTCTCTTGTATAATAGAAACATCAAAGTGGACTTGGCAAAGCGCATCTCTGAAATATGCTTTCATTGTCTATGTTAGTTCATCTCTGTCCAGTCAATAAAGGAGGGTGCTTTACTGTGGTTAATGTCAATTGTTTCATGGGAGGCACTAATTTAGCAACCGTCCCTAACCGCGAATAAACCTGATGGTTTTATAATTGAGGAGAAAACAGATGTTTATTAAGGCCCTTAATTTGGGCTGGGAGTTTTATTTAATGCAATCTTATTTCCAGGTATCTATCTTATTGAGGGGAAAATAAAGGTCAGAAAGATTTGGCAATTTGCTTATGATCACATAGTAAACTCATGGAGTAATGACTGAGTTAGGATTCGCACTCTGGTCATTTGGGAAGGAAGCATCAGCGTTTTTCTACTGTATTGGCTCAACAGAGACACAGAATCATTGAACCACAGTTCTGCTTATGTATCCTGACCGGGTATTACTTACTCGGGGCTTCTCCCCATTCAAGGAAGGACACAGAGCACTGTCCAGTGGTGATGCCCTTCTCTGTGGGCAACAACACAGGTAAAGGGCCACAGGTTGGCAGAGGGTGTGAAGAGGACCAGGTCACGCATTACAAGGCCAACTAAGCATCCTGGCAGAGCCATGTGGTTGTCACCATTGGCGTTTCTGACCAGAGCAATGCCAGAGAGGCTTGTGAGGCTCTAGATGGAGACCACCTTGCCAGTCGACTGCAGAGCAGGCTAGCATTTGGCAGCAGTGGCAGCAGTGGGCAATCACACTTTACAAATCAATGATTTTCACACTTAATCAGTGAATTCTTCCTGAATCACCCAGAAAGTATACAAAATTTTAAATTTACAAAAAAATGGAGCCAGGAGTCTTATTTAATATAACCCTATTTCCAGGTCACATGGGCCTCACTCCACTTCACTTCAATTAATTTGTTCATACACTGGTTTCTCCAATCAGTGAATTCCTGGAGGGCAGGAACTGTTTTATTGATTTTCATCTCTCTATAGTGTCTATCAGCATTTACACATGCTAAGTACTCATGTATTGAAGTGTTGGTTGAATAAATAGGCAGCATATTCTTTGTCTCCATTTCATTACCATCTATTGTAGTGGGAAAAATTTCATGACCCAAGTGAGATACATGTGTACTAGAAATTGAAGGCAAAAGTAAAGAAAGGATGGGAATTAGAACACTTTTCTAAAGTGATAAGGAAAGCAATACTTTGCTTACTCATTAATGACAGTGGGGAGGCCCACTTTAGATTACAGGGTTTTGCACAGTGAGTTCCTGGTGCATGAACAGGGAATGAATCCATCATCTTCTTTCATGTTGTTCTCTAATATTTCTACCACACTATGCAGAAACTGCACTGGGAGACTCGGTGAAACACCCTGGTAGGCAGATGAGAAACAAACATGATAAAATACAAGAATAGTACATCATAAGACTCATTTTTCCATTCATTTTGACAAGGGTAATGTAGTTTTAATTACTAATGATAATACATATTGCCTACTAGTAAATGTCTTGTGATGCCTTTTGTAAAGCTTTCATCTTAGAATATCACAGTACTCCTGCATTTGTTCATTAAATACTTGTTACAAACCATAGGTTATTGGCTGTCAGGGGAAAATGAGCAAGTTTGTGAATTAACAAATAGGCATTAATAACCTCCTACTGTAGAAACTAAATACTTGGAAAATTAGAGAATATGATGCAGTGGTTTTCGTAATACTCAGTGAAAGAAGCCACAGAAGGTTAAATATTGCACAGTTTCTCTCATATGAGAAACACCAAATAGAAATAATTTAAAGAGCAAAATAAAAAATCCATGTTAAGAAACAGAGATGTGGGCTCTGTAGAGATGGGAAGGGAATCTAGGGGAAAGTGGAGAAGGAAAGGTGAGGCAGGGGAGTCAAATGATCAAGGTTTAGTATGTGTATGTACCAAACCCCCAAGCTGAACATGATCACAATGGATCACAAAGTTTGATGTGACTAAAAAAACAAAACCAGAACAAAAAAGACACAGTGGCTTGTTTGAATAGCTCTGCTTAGTTGGAATATTATAATTTCAAAATTAATAGATTGAATGAAGTCCATATTCAAATCTGCCTCAAAATGACTGAACAATTGATTAAACTCTAGTTTCATTTTCAAGGTCAAAGTGAGAAAACATGTTTGTCAGACAAGCCAGCACAAACAGAAAGTTGCTTCATTTTGTTTGGGTTTATAATTTGCAGTGCTCAATGCTCCTATCGATGTGTGTTTGTCCTCATAACAAATCATGCACAATTATCAATAAAAATTCAAAGACTGCTGCTAAGGTGTGAAATTATACAAATCATTTCACTGGAAAAGAAAAGGCCCTGGAGGTGAACAGTATATTGAATTTTTTCAAAGGAAAATTATGTATTTGTAGGTGTGTCATTTGATAAAATGATTGTCATGGAAAATTAAATCTCATCTTGGAAGGAATGAGTAAGAATAAGAAAAATCACCATTCTCTTAAAGGACTTTTACCTTTTTTATTAACAAATTTTTCTCTAAGCTTCTAATTATACATGTCAACTACATATATGTTCACATATGGATAATGTAACTATACAATTTTACTACCCTATATTCTTTAGGCTTAATTCAGACTCATGTCAAAGGAAAATGAAGAACTTAGGGACTGTCTGATTCAGTGTTTCTCAAAGCATGGCCCATAGACTGCCTACTTTGGAACCCCTGTAATACTTGTTGAAAATAAAGCTTCCCAGAGACCTGGTAAATCTGTATCTCTGAAGTAAACTTTACGATGAGGCAAGTTAGGGAAATGTTTGTCTGGCTAATTGTTAGAAATGCAAATTCTTAGGCCATACCCCAGACTTAATGGATGAGAGATTCTAGGGTTGGAGCCCAGCAGTCCACATTTTAACAAGCCTTCTAGGTGATTCTGAGACATACTGCTAGATCTGGGGACCACTGGTGTAGCGTATGCTATGGTGGCTG